TGGTGACATGTATGCTTGGCCACAACAAAGGAAGATCACCGGTCTGTGGGCGCTGCCGAGAGAATATCCAAGGTCTTGACAATCCGCATGTTGAAGATCGCACTGGGCATTAAACCATCGTTCTTACTGGTTCCAGCAAGGGTAGCGTGGATAAAGGAGATGCCGAGCCGCTTCGCCCGATAAAAAAAAAATGTCCGCTTAGCAATGAAATGCACACAAACAACTTAGAAACTGACACCACTGTGTCCTGATATGAACATGTTGATCTTGCCATTCTCGAAAAAAGCTATCTCTGCCTGAAAAAAAAAAAAAAAAAAAGGCACACCTGCCCCTTTGCAGTTCGCGGATGCGCGTGTTGGACATTGAGGGGACCGTCCCCACCGTCTTCCAGTCCCTACCTTATCGTTAGGCCTTGGTTCACGCGATCCCACTTTCTGTGTGTGGGCGTTTGTGTGTGTGTGTGTGCTTCGCGGGCTGGACTGCGTCACTCCTAGGCTGAAAGTGAAGAGGAAGCTAAGGCGTTTGGTGAACCAATCGCACGTTTGGCTTTAATCACGTGATCACGCTCCCTCCCGAAACTACGCGCAGAGAGCGGAGCAGGCGATAACCGGTCCGGCGGGCGCGCAGCTTCTTCGACACTGTCGGCTTAGGAATGAAGGGATCCCTCCTCCTTCAAGGACGAGGACGCCGAGTCCCCTAATCTCAAAAGAGATTTGGAGAGATTAGTGATGATGGGTGGGGAAAACGGGAGAGAAACTGTTTTCTGGTCACCTTCTCTCGCCCTTTTCGAGAGAGAGATAGAGCTCTTGCGCCAGGCCGAGGGACCTTCGTAAGCAACCCGTTTCGAGGCCATCGGCGCGCCCCTCCACTGCGCTCTTCCCTCTCTCGAATTCTTCCGTTTGTCTCAGCTGGTATTTGCTATCCGGGTATTCAAAAACCAATATGGCAGAGATTGCTTAGACATGATAACTCTAGAACAAGAGGACAAAAAGGGACTGACCGACACGAAGCACGGAACTCAGCTTGAAGCCTCATGTCAAAGTTATAAAGATAATGATAAATCAAATGTCTCCCAACAAAAAGAAAAGGGGCGACATGAATTTCAAAAGATTGTCGGCCACTTTGGCGTTCCCTCAGAGCATCAGTGAAGCTAACTAGCTTATGCCTCAAAATAAAACAAACACGAGAGCATGCGCACAAAGAGACATGCACACAAACATATGGAATGCGCCACATCGGTAGTCTAAAATATCAACGACATGTGGGCGATCGTACGGGTGTAGCATTATAGCCCCAAGTGCAGAATCCGTGTGCACGCTTCAACCAGCATTGTTCCAGGTTTTAACCTAATATCTTGAGGGTCTACAAATGACGGCATGATTACGTTGCACACGCTCGTGAGCACGACCAGGCCACATGATCTGAGAATTCGTGTCATGGGCTTTTGATAAAAATAGCCTTTTGAAGGCAGGGCAAAAGGGAAAAGTGCGGGTGTCAGTCGTGGGGCATTTGACATCGGGTGCTTTCGTGCACCAAACGATCGTACATAGGGCATGAACTTTCTGTAAAGTGGTCTCCTTTAGGGAACTTGGCAGTCCACTGTGATAAGTGCTCGTATGACCCTTTGCTGGAAAAAAGACAAATTCCGGGCAAGCAGGAACAGAAAACAGAGGGGAAAACTTTGGAGGTGTTCAAATTTAGCGTAAAGAAAGATGATAGTTGCACCAGTGCGTCGTTACTCGTTTCATCAAATAAGAAATTCAGATTCATTTGGCTTGAGGTATAATAAAGTGTGTATCAGTGGCTTAGCCAAAAAATTTCTTCAGGGTTTTTTTTTTTTTTTTTGCTTAAGCTGTTTGAAAGACACACACAAAAAAAGAGAGGAAACGAAACTGCCCAAACACAATATTGTTTACTATTTTCCTCTTTCTTAGACGACAAAAGTCCAACCTTCTTTTCCACATCTCGTTCGTCCAATATTTAAAACAGGGAAATTTAATGTTAAATGACGAAAGAACGCAGTCATTAAATATTATATTTGACTTTGAGTAAAAAAGTCCAGAAAGGCTCACAAAAAAAATTACGGTGCGTGCACTTCAATGCGGAACACTCGAGTATCCAATGACTGAAAACTGCGGAAAAGTGCCAGAGAATAGCGAAGTTTAGAATACGATTAAACACAAAAACTGCAATGCGCACTGGGGCAATGAGCTAGTGAAGCATCACGCTCAATGTTCCTGCGCGGATCACATATTTCACAAATTATCGTTTTATAGTCATGTTTTAAATTATTTCTTTTCTTCGTTGTCGTTTTGCGAGAAAGTGGAAGAGAAAAATACCAGTTTCTATCATTTTGTGGGGTCTAAACATTTAGTGGAAGCCGCCGTCGGTCGATAGAAAGAAGCGAGAGTACCCTTCCGGTGCTGATTTGCATATTCCGGTGAATGTTCAAAAGCGCAGCCCCTATTAGCGGCGAGATGTTTTGGTGGCGCCCTCCTATAGTTTTCTCTCGTGACGTCATTACCTTACGAACAACAAGTTCGACGGTATTTATAATTAGCATGGTGTGGAAGCTTGAGATCATTGCGCTCTGAAGCCAACACTGCCAACCCCGTCAAAATTGAAGTTCTTACATTGCTCTTATTTCTTTCAATGAGAAAACCTTTGCTGACGTCATAGTGACCATTCGGCCAATCGTGGAAGGCCTATCACAGCGACGCTTTTGATCGCGCACGTCACCAATGCTGCGTTCACCATTAAGCTCAGACTAGAAGCTCCGCTTTAAGCGCGAGCTTTCTGCCCTTCCAAAAACAAGTGTGATCGCGCAGGCACGCGCAACCAATGCACTGCCGAAGCCAGCGAGCTCGCGTTGAAGGCGAAGCGTCTGGTCTCAGCTTAGGACGGAGTAGCAAGCGCCTCTGGGACGTTGAAGCCCTCAGATGCTTCAACGTCCCAGTCTTAGGAGTCTCGAAAGCAAATGTTCCGCTTCAGCGCTGCTAACGAGCATGGAGGCCAGGATTTGCAGCAGGCGGGTTACATTAGGATACAAGGCCTCTGGGCAAATGCAAGTTGCCTGTACCGCTGAGACGCGCTAAGCGGTGCGGTCCCTCCACATTTGTGTCAAAACCAGTACTTCCCCAGGAAGTTCATCTAACAAAACGAATGCTCCGCACGGGCTGGAGATTGGCGACCGCCGTCGTTGGCCACAACATCGCTGTCGCCTAGGGCGGACAATGCTGCCTGACGTGAATCTGCTGGTTATGTTGGAGACGTTGATGACACGCTTGAAGTTGTAGGTCAATAATCATTCTTAAAAACAAAGTCAAGAACGGCTTGGCTCTTGAACTCATTTTTGAAAGTCTATATACGTAGAGGAAGTTCCACGACTCACGTGCTGAACGCAAGCACGTAAACATTACCCACTTCAGCGATTAAAGCAGTCAACTAGGTACGCTTTGAAACCAAATGATTATGAGCATTCCAAAGTTGCTTCAACAGTGCATATGCTGTCGCTTTTCTCTCTTGCTTCTTTTCTTTTTCTTTTTTTCAATGATGGGGATTTTTTCAGTGTGTTTTTTGCATTTTTTTTGTGTATTATTGAAGCTAAATAAGTAGGGCGAGTAAACCCTAAAAAAAGGCAAGACAAAAAAAAAAAAAAAAAAAAAAAAACAACGCTGAGCTGTTAGTTGTTTTGTCGTCCGGTTTTCTCCTCATTGTAGAGTTCGTAAAGTCAGAGTATTGCTATTTTGGAGTTTTGTTGCGCTGCCCTGCTTGTTGCGCTGCTCGTCGACTCCTCGACACTCAAAGGGTAGGGGAACTTTAGTTAAGCCGCCTGCATTCCCCGAGGCGAGGCCAGCGTCCTTCAAGGTCATGATTTCGCGGCTTTTGTGACGTCGGGAACAAAGCCATTCGCACCTGCAAGCCTGAAGAAAGGCTTTGGTTACTAACATGGCCAAGTTTGGAGAGAGCTGTTCGAAGAGCCGGAGCCGGAGATGTATTTTTCCCACAGTCCACGGACAGTGTCGTCTTCGTTTTGCTTCGGTATGTTGTGGGCACAGCCCCTCGCCGTTGTGGATTGTCGAAACGAAACACGAAACACACACACAAAAAATGTTCTTCACCTGACATGAAGTGCAGTCCATAAACCCGTAGTTAGTGTACGAAGCTTTTCTGTCAAGATCATAAGTCAACTATAATCATCTAAAGCGAAAAGTCCCATGGGTTTGGCCGCGACGGGAGGGCGATGCATAGACGCGGACATCGGCGGCCCCATTTGACCGTTCCTATGAGCTCATATCGCAGGCGACGCATATGCACCAAGGAGCAGCAAAAAATTACCTGTAAATTCTGTACTTTTTTTTTTTTGAAGAAAAACATTTGAATTGCGCGTTGACACAATTAAATAAAGGTAGGCTGTACCAACTCACTTATTAAAACATCCTTGCCCATCTTCTGCCCCCCCCCCCCCCCCCCAAAAGAAAAAAAGAGAAAAAAAGAAGCGGGTAGAGAAAAAAACCTTCCCCGCAAAAAGAAAAACAAAAAAAGAAATATGCGCCGAGCAGCGTCGAACATGCGCCGACCCCATAGCGGCGCCATCTGTTGACAGCCCGTGATATCGCGAGGAGAAACTTACTCTCGCTACAGTTACTCTCGAGTTCGAGTGAGGGTTAAGGGAGGGTATCATCGAAAGAAGCGGTGGCGAAAGAGTAACTTTGATGAAGAGAGAGTTAAAGTAGAGTAAGTTAGGGCACTTACTCTCCTTTGACACCTTTTTTTTTTTAGAGTGTACTATCAAATGCACACGCGCGGTAGCATAGCGCGATAACATGCGTTGGTTACACAAGCGCAGCGAAGCTATTTTCGAAAATTATGAGCTCGCACTTGTGCCTTTTAACACACTGCGGAGAAATCTTGAAATGGACAACAGACGGTGGCCGTCACCAGGAGTCCTTCTACGCTCTACGCCCGTGGAAAGAGTGGGACGTTTTTCTTTCTCACAGCTCAAGAGAACGAGGAGAAGCTCTGCGGTCGCCTGCGTGTTCTCTACACGCTCGCAGTTTCGGAAGTTACGAAAACATTCGTCTCTCAGGATTACCAGACATCGCTGAATGCAACCTGCAGCTGTGACTTGCCTCTCGGTACGTCTACTCTGGCTTGGCAAAAGCTTTCAGTTGCTTTCTCTCGTTCTTTCTAGATAAAATAAGATTTCTTTTTTCAAAAGTTCGCGTTATTTAGTAGTTTCTGGGCCATTTATTTTAGGCCTGCGTTGTTTAGCAGCCCGCGCTGTCGTTTAGCAGCCGCATCCCTCGCTCACCCCACTTCACCTTGCTGCACCTTCCTATAGCGCTCCTGGGCCGCTTTGGTGGTACACAAAACCCGCAAGCAAGAGCTTTCATATTACCCGTGGTTTGCTTCGCTGCCGCCCAGCGCGCACCGAGAAAAGTCACCGCCTCGAGAGAAGTCACGGACTGAACGAGAAGAGTTCAATCGGCGACTCCCCGCTCCCCGCTGCACTCTCTATCGAGGCTCCATCCGCGGACGCAAGAGCGATAACGCTGGCCCTATATATCCCATGCTTTTGATATCGTGATCGGAATTCAGGGCAGCCTTAGATTGACTTTACTTCTTAGTATGCTCTAAACAGGTTTAGCTCGGCGAAATATAGCCTTCGATGCTGCTGCGCCACTAAGCTTCTCATCATTGCCATTAACGAAATCACCAACGAAATGAGGGGAAAGCCCCTACTAAGAGTAAGTGCAAGAGCCGGGGAACGCTTTCTCCCACGCTCAACAGAATAAAATAATAAACGAAGACGCGATGAGCCACAACATAATCTGATGTTTCCACTCTAAAAACAGCTTTCTTATTCAAGCAGCAGTCAAACTACTCGTACGTGATTTAAAATATAAGCAGTGTTCGCTTCGGGCATGACAACAAAAGTATCAGCCTACACGACTCAAAGATGTTCGAATCATGTTTGTTTTTTACATGCGTGTGCTTCAAACATACCTCCAGACAATCTTTGTATGACCAATGCGACAAAACATCCTCGAGAACAGAAAAAAAAAACACTATGCACAGTGTTTACATACTTTCTTTTACACGATGAATGGGCAGTGTGAGCGCGGCCTTACGCGCACCAATTCACGTCTCTAAACTATGTCCTCGCTTATATGGCGATTATTGTGCAGGCGACTCGACATTCTACGTCCTGTTCAAGGAGGACAGCGTAAGCCATCGGCACAGCCCGCCAAGCCACCTGACCTTGGATAGCCACGTAACACTGCTGCAACTCGACGAGCCCAACAGCGACAAGCTCTACGAGCTGAAGGAACGCTGCTCCAAATCCCACCGCGTCAGACGAAGTGCTGGTTACGGCCAGGACTATGGAGGAGGTACGTAATGCCCGAAAGCTCCCTGCCCTCTCGGAGACCGTCTGCTGTTAGCGTTCGGAAACAGACTAGCTAAAGGACACGTAAAAGGCTGGTTCTTACATTACTGTTTAAGTACGAATGACTGCGTTTCAACCATCTGTTACTGCTTACAAGGTGTAGGAGAAGTAGCATTAAGGTGCCTGGAACGTGTCTCCGACTGGTGTGTTTACCGCGCCCTAAGACGTGGTTCCTCAATTTCCGCCTAATGACGTCACAAAAGTGTCACGCTGTCGCCGGCAACGATCCTGGGGGTGACAGCAGCAGAGGTGTATGCGGCAGACGCCTGTTCCGCTGCATGTGGCTCTCCAGCTTGACAGTTCCCGGAAGCTTCGACAGAGAGGAGTTGGGACACCGTGACGACAGCGATACTCGCGTCCTGTCGTGTTTTTTTTTTTTTTTCCGCAACAGACTTCTTACGTTTAACCGTCCGGATGACGACATTCAACAGCCTGACACGCCGGTTCTTGTGATGTCATTTGTTGCCACTTCGGGACCACCTTTGTTGCATCGACGGCAACGTTACAAAAACACTCAATTCGGAAATTCACCCTTGAAACCTGGACTGCTCAAGTCCCCCGAGACTGAGTAAACTACGATAACAGCGCCACCCTTTAGCGACGAGTTGAAACGTTCAAGTTGCTTTATATGGCTACTGCTAGAATAACTGAACGTTCCCAAAGTATCGAAGCTTCCAGGCTCAAGGCGCCAAGATGGCGGCTCAACCTCTTTTCTTTACTGTGGTCACCATGAGCTTTAAGAAAGCACGTTTTTGCGTCAAAACAAAACGGAAAAGTGTCCTTTATATGGGAAATTTTATTGGAGATTTGAACAAAATTACAAAAGCGTGATGTTATTTTGTGTTTTTTTTAATTTTAGTTTACAAGGTTTTGCAGCACAATTAATATTGATTTTATACAACCATGTCTCACAGCTGATTTCAGGTAGCGCGCCCCGACTTGGGTGCGTCCTAACTTCGGGGATTAATTACGGCGCGCCCACTTGGGAGGCGGGGGTTAGCATCCCCGAGACCCCTTCCATCGTATATGTTTCACCGCCAAAATGTCCGATTAAAGCCAAAATAGAAGAGTCACAGCGGACTCTACCGACGGCGACTCTCCCGATTCAATACAAGCAGCCATGCAGTTTCCAGAGTGGTCGCTGTGCGAAAAATGGCGGTGTTGCGACTGCCACTAGTTCGGTATTCTAATACGTATCGCTCTCCCTTTTTCAGAGTAGGCTCTATGGTAGTTTCCCAGTCGAGTTGTTCTAGTAACGTTGATGGACGGTATAGGATGCTAGACACACCAGTTGGAGACATCTTCGAAGCACCATAGAAGCACGTTGAATAAAAAAATATTACTCCAGATAGTTTTACTTTAGTCATTCTACCTGGCGGGAAAAGGGATGTAAGTAAAGGGGAAGAACTAGATGCATTGGTCTCGGCCCGCTGACTTCACAGATCAAAGTAGCGAGTCTAGGAATCGCATTCAGTATTTTCTTTGATGTTCTGGGGTGACCCAGCCTTTATGCCGAATCGGTCGGAGGTTCAAGTGCATACGCCGAAAGGAGTCTTTCCTCTTTCTGCTGTTCGTTATTGAGGCCCATATAAAACGTGTAAAATTTATGAGCACGTTGTAATTGTAACCGATTGCGACAAGAGGACACGTTGCCGCCATCTATTGTGTAGCGCTGAAAAGACTTCCGACTGCGTAGAACAAGAACAAGGATTTCAAAGTGTCGGCGAGATCAAACGCCCCCCCCTTACTTATGAGAGAATCGCTTATAACTTTGCCAGAATTATTTCAGGCACAATGAATGATGCCTACAACATTCACAACTCGGAGGCGTTCCAAACTTTACCCAATAACTGAACCAAGTGTGTATTGTCGTGCGTAGACGTTCACGAGGGGTTGATACGTGGCCGGTCACATTCAAAAACAGGTGTTTTGTGCCAGCCTTTAAGCGTGCGTTCTAGTTCGTATCTATGCGTGGAAATACCTCAAGTATTTATATGCGTCGGTGTTTTTAACAAGCCAACAATCGCGCGTTTTTTTTTATTGCTGATATATTTGCGGAGTGTAGAACGCACAGCTTAATCAATGAGCGCTATTGTTAAGGCTGCTTCCCATACGTACCGCCTAGGACCGGCTGCACCGCGTCGCAGCCGGCTGTAGGCGGTTGCAAGATGCTTAAACCAGTCGTAGCTTAGCCGGCCGTAGTCAAGCGCAAATGTATGAACCTGCTTCTGGGCGCATTGATTAGAGCGCGGTTAAAACAAGCTGCTAGTTAGGTTATAATTCTCTGGATTCCACTTTGTGTGAGCTCGCAGTCAGCACATGAACTGAAACGGCGGACTCAGCTATGTCATTTTTACTTAAAAGGTTAATCGAGAATTCGCATGATACCTTTCTTCTTCACTTGATGGGTGATGTCGCAATTCCGATTACATTTTTTTACTTTTTTTACTTTGTTCCTCACATTGATCGTTCACGTATAATAATTGTAAAACTAGGCAAAAAAGATCGCCGTATTTTCCCGGAGAGCTTCAATATTTACGATAGGGCTGTTTTCATGGGTATTTTATTGAACTTTCCAGACGTAGCACTTAATCTATAACAGAACAAGTTTCATTCGTGGAAGTTTTAACGATGGTCGCCAATGCAGGCAGTTGGTATCTAAGTCAACAGGTCACAATTGAAAGATTAGTCATGATGAGTGATATTAACGTAGGCAATATAAAACAATTAAAGCACACACAGTAAACCCCTTTCTAAGAGCGAGCATCATGTAGTAGCTACTGCTCTGCGTATTCGAGTCCGCCGTTTTTTGTGCTCTGAGCATGCCCTGAGCCTGCTCTAAGCATGATCGGAATGTGTGGAGAATATGGTTAAAGTATGCCCAGAGCATACCTGCAAACACGCGTGTATGGACAGTGTGACTGGTTCTTGTTAAGAAGACAAGCGTCTTTCTTTTACGAGTCACAAGCTGTACAATTTCAGTTATTTCAATGTGCGCAAAACTAGCGACGGGTCGCTGACGCTTTGCGCTAGAGAGATTTATTGTGTGCATCAATTCTCCCTATTATCTTACTTTACCATGATCTAACGAAATATGAGCTAAACATAAAGTCTTATTTTTTTAACAATGTAACAGTAAAATAATTCCACCTTGTAAATGTAAGGTTACATTCGTGTTATTTCTCTTTAGGTTACTCAAGCTATGACAGCTACGGTGGAAACTCTTACTCGGCTCCGAGCTACTCGGCACCAAGCTACAGCGCTCCTTCATATTCCCCACCAACCTATTCTGCCCCAAGCTACAGTGCCCCATCCTATTCGGCCCCAAGCTACAGCGCTCCCTCATATTCCCCACCAAGCTATTCTGCCCCAAGCTACAGTGCCCCATCCTATTCGGCCCCAAGTTACAGCGCTCCCTCATATTCCCCACCAAGCTATTCTGCCCCAAGCTACAGTGCCCCATCCTATTCGGCCCCAAGCTACAGCGCTCCCTCATATTCCCCACCAAGCTATTCTGCCCCAAGCTATAGTGCCCCATCCTATTCGGCCCCAAGCTACAGCGCTCCCTCATATTCCCCACCAAGCTATTCTGCCCCAAGCTACAGTGCCCCATCCTATTCGGCCCCAAGCTACAGCGCTCCCTCGTATTCCCCACCAAGCTATTCTGCCCCAAGCTACAGCGCCCCCTCATATTCCCCACCAAGCTATTCTGCTCCAAGCTACAGTGCCCCATCCTATTCTGCCCCAAGCTACAGCGCTCCTTCTTACTCCATGCCAAGCTATTCTGCACCAAGCTACAGTGCCCCATCCTATTCCGCCCCAAGCTACAGTGCTCCCTCCTATTCCCCGCCAAGCTACAGCGCCCCATCCTATTCTGCACCAAGCTACAGCGCTCCCTCATACTCTCCACCAAGCTACAGCGCTCCATCTTATTCCCCACCAAGCTATTCTGCCCCAAGTTACAGTGCCCCATCTTATTCGGCACCAAGCTACAGTGCTCCGTCTTACTCCCCACCAAGTTATGCTGCACCAAGTTACAGCGCTCCTTCCTATTCTGCACCAAGCTACAGCGCTCCTTCGTACTCTCCACCAAGCTATTCTGCTCCAAGCTACAGTGCCCCATCCTATTCCGCCCCAAGCTACAGTGCCCCATCCTATTCCGCCCCAAGCTACAGTGCTCCCTCCTATTCCCCACCAAGCTACAGCGCCCCATCCTATTCTGCACCAAGCTACAGCGCTCCCTCATACTCTCCACCAAGCTATTCTGCCCCAAGCTACAGCGCTCCATCTTATTCCCCACCAAGCTATTCTGCCCCAAGTTACAGTGCCCCATCTTATTCGGCACCAAGCTACAGTGCTCCGTCTTACTCCCCACCAAGTTATGCTGCACCAAGCTACAGCGCTCCTTCTTATTCGGCACCAAGCTACAGCGCTCCTTCTTATTTGGCACCAAGCTACAGCGCTCCTTCGTACTCTCCACCAAGCTATTCTGCTCCAAGCTACAGCGCTCCTTCCTATTCTCCACCGAGCTACAGTGCCCCCTCCTATTCGGCACCAAGCTACAGCGCTCCTTCTTACGCCCCACCAAGCTATTCTGCCCCAAGCTACAGCGCTCCTTCCTATTGAGAATAATGCTGTTGTGCTCCTTATTTCGCTCAAAACTACTGAGTCAATAAATGCTTTACTTACACTGGACGACTCTTTCAGCCTTTGCAAGTTCACGTTGAACCAACTGAACAAATAAAGATTACTATTCGCAACTAGTTTTCGTGTGACACTCTTTATAATGCTCGCCACTCTTATCGTTGTAGCCTAAGGTATGATTTACAACAGGATGGCGTAGGTTCCTGAGGGATATCTAATACGATGTTGCGACAACGAATGAATGTTCTGTTAAGACTAACCTTTTGTTGTTACTGCAGACAAATATAATGCATATGATGACAATAGCGAAGTCCCCACTAATTACTAATAACGTGGCCTTTTATGCAGCTTTTACTTTGTTGTCACGTCCTTACAGACTGCCGGAAGTTTGTGGCATCTTTGTACGATGTAAGCTACTGATAGCGTAACAGGAGTTAGTCAGTAATTTAGGTAAACTCTGTGTGGTTCCAAAATTGCTTTCTCAGATATTCTGGTCTGCAAATAATAAGAATGTATTCCGCCCATGAGATTTCTCGCGGGAATGTTTTCACACGTCAGACCATACTTTAACTGTGGTTGCTAGGCTCGATTGGCTCTGGCATGAAAACAATCCTTGCATTGATTTACGTCTATCGACTTGCAAAACGGTACACGTAAAACGCACGGTCCACAATGCACCGCTGCAAAAATTACAAAATGTGCTGCTGCTTCGCTATTCCCTCCTGCGTCTACACTAGCTAGCAACAGACATATTATATCCGATAGAGGCCTTGCAGCGTAGACAATTCTTTAAGGTTAGCTTCAAGGTCAACAAATCGTCTCTATTGAGTGCCTATCGAATTCGGCTTTAGCCATTAAAATATAAAATACTTTTTCGAGAGACAAGATCGGAATTTCTACTTTTCTTTTTATCTGGAGTAAAACCTGTTTTACAGAATTGCTGACGGCTACGACCGACTCGGACAAAACCTGTTTTAATCCTCGTGTGACCTCTTACGATGGGCCGCGCAGCAGCAGCGATTGTGTCGCTGCTGCTGCGCGGTTGTGTCGGTTGTGTCGGAGTTGGTCGTTGTCGGTCGCAAGTGTTTGAACCAGCCTTTAACATCCAGGGCGACGGGCACAGACATGTGATGTATTGATTGGACTTTTGACATTGGGCCTAAATGATGCTGGCAGAAACTAAAAAAATTGCGAGGACACCTAAGCACTTCTTATGAGCTGTGGATCAGAAATCATCAATGTCGTTTTGCCGCTCCCTTAGTTCGTCTGCGCCGTACTGGTGTGGGCAGCAACGTTTCGCTAATGCCCAGATGCGGCTGACGGCCTAGCGCGCGCACTCGTGAAGTGGCTGCGCCGCGCTGAGCTCGGCTGTGCAGCCACTCTGGAGTCTGCCCGTGCGGGCTCTGCTGACTCGACGGCCAGCCTCTCCCTCTTTCCGGCAGCCGTTGCTCGTTGCGAGAATAGAAATATTAGAATATTAAAGCACAAAACGACAAGGAAGGAAAAAAGAGTGAGACAGGAAAAAGCGCCAACCATATCCTCTGGCGATTGAGTAAAACCTCGCCTTGCAGCTTGAACTCACGATTACGTCGATATAAAAAAGAGTCTATAGCCGTTTTCACCTGAAAAAAAAAGAAAAGAAAAAAAGCTTTGCGCATTGTTCATACGCGGCGCGAAGTAGTTCTTACGAGATTTGGTTGTCGGAAGAAAAAGCGATGCTGTTGGCGTTTGGAGCATGTACGTCGTGATACGACAACATATGTCTAATATAGAACTCGCTTACATAAATCTTAATTCTCCACATAAAGGGGGAAATTAGTGATGCTCCACGAAGACTCGGATTTTTTTTACTGCGTTTCTTGAGGTGAAAACAGGCATAGAGGATTTACACACGAAAAAGGGCCCATTGTATTAGAAAACAATCATTAAGGTTCTTTCTTCTACAATTGGCCCTTTTTTGTGTCTACCTCCTGTAGACTGTTTCTTTTTATATTAACATGATCGCAAGTTCAACCTGCAAGGCGAGGTTCTACTCAGTCGCCATCAGATAGGGTTAGCACTCTTTCCTGTGTCCTCTTTTTGTTCCTCGTCGTTTTGCGCTTTAATATTCTAATATGTACAACCAACTCGCCCGCCACGTGATATTAAAATAGAATAGAAATAGTTTTGCGAGAGGAACGACAGCTTTACTTTCTCTAGTAACGGACAGTTTAAAACACGCAGGCCTTGGTTAATTTTCTTCGTGCTTCCTTGTTTGTAATTAGTCCTTCAGAGTCATTATAGAATATTTCCGCGATCTGATTGGCTGCAGAGAGATAATGAGATCCTTTGGACTCGCCACACTTCCCCTTTTATAACCTGTCAGTGACAATAGAACTCACGTAGCGTGATACGAAATGTTGGGACCTGTGAGTATCTCAAACAATGGGTGTGCGAGGCTCCCTATTTTGCACATAGTAATGGCGGGAAGGATGAAGACCTTTGCAAGCGTATGGCAGACGTCACATTCTAGCCGACGCTGATTCAGAAGTGCACAAAAATCTGATACACCAGCGTGTCTGTTACCAAGTGCTTAGGACGGAGACTTACACACAGGAAAGTATTAAATATTACCAAGCATAAATGAGTGAAGATTGGCAACAGATCACAAAAAAGTTGCCATTTTGTTCGTGCTTATAACGCAAAGCCTATCTAAAAAAAAACAGGTATGATCACTTTTTTAATGATGTTTTCGATACTTTATAGGGTTTCTCGTTCCCAGCTGCATCGTCAAGGCCCGGGATCAAACAGACCTTAACTAAGTTAGCACTGTAGATAAGCAAACACAAGTAGCAAGCCAGAAAAACCCCTGATTTGGCCCAAGTTTGGAAAATCTTAGGTGTCTTACTTGGGCCTAACTAGGTTTCGCTCCAAGGCGTTAGCTGGTGAAAGTACTTTTCTTTTGCATTTCTTTTTTTTTATGATTTGCCACATAAACACGAAAGTACCAGACTTCAGCCAAAGATTCCACGCATCAACCGAAAAACCACCAGTAAAGCCTGGTACTGGACTTTTATTGTAATCTTCGGCCAATGTATGCAACCTAAAAAACAAACAACCAGAAGTAAAGCCTAACCCTGACGCTTGTTTCGCGATTTAGGACCATAGATGCCAGGTGGCAGGCGAAAGACCCGGCAGTGACGCCTAACTTGCAGAAAAAAAAGGAAAGATTTTTTGAGGTTGGGTCAATCCTCGCTTGCAAGAAACTAAGAGCCAACGATTGGGCTTTTGTCTCGATGAGCAGGTCTTTCTGCCCTATAAGATATAAATATTCACAAAGTGCACGAAGCTATAAATATTGAACACATCTCTTTTGTGTTTGCCAGTTAAAAAAGTGAAAGCTGCTTACAACTCCCTGTAACGCCGAATTAGAGCGCAGCTCTTGAGGAGGAGGAGGGAACGGCACTGGGGGGGGGGGGGGGTTAAACTAACCAGGGGGGGGGGTCACGTGACCCTGGGGGTCACGTGACCTCCAATGCCGATGATGTCATCACTGAGGTCACTGATGACGTCATCATTGACGATGACGATGCGGGTACCGATGACGTCATTAGTGACGTCACTGATGACTTCACCAGTGATGATGACGATGACGATGCGAACGTCGGTGACGTCATCAGTGACGTCGCTGATGACGTCATCAGTGATGATGACGATGACGATGCGGATGTCGGTAACGCCGTCAGTGATGATGACGATGACGATGCGGATGCCGGTGACGTCATCAGTGATGATGACGATGACGATGCGGATGCCGGTGACGTCATCAGTGACGATGACGATGACGATGTGGATGCCGGTGACATCAGTGACGTCACTGATGACGTCATCAGTGATGATGACGATGACGATGCGGATGTCGGTAACGTCATCAGTGATGATGACGATGACGATGCGGATGCCGGTGACGTCATCAGTGATGATGACGATGACGATGTGGATGCCGGTGACGTCATCAGTGATGATGACGATGACGATGTGGATGCCGGTGACGTCATCAGTGATGATGATGTCATCAGTGATGATGATGACGATGTGGATGCCGGTGACGTCATCAGTGACGATGACGTCATTGGGGGTCACGCGACATCGGCGGGGGTCACGTGACCTCAGGGGAGTCACGTGACTTCGGAAGTCACGTGACCTCGGGGGGGTCACGTGACCCCCGAGGTCACGTGACCCCCGCGGTGCATTATGGGACATTTCCCATGATGCACCGGGGTCACGTGACCTCGGGGGGGTCACGTGACCCCCGAGGTCACGTGACCCCCCCGCGGTGCATTATGGGACATTTCCCATGATGCACCGGGGTCACGTGACCTCGGGGGGGTCACGTGCCCCCACGAGGTCACGTGACCCCGGTGGGGGGCTCGCGCGGTGCATTATGGGACATTTCCCATGATGCACCGCGCGGTTACGCCGACGCCGACGCCGACGCCGACGCCGCTCAAGCCGGAAACGGGCCCCTAAGAGCTGCGCTCTAAAAAGTGCGAAAAGCCTAGGTACGCCTGAAGCCACAGTTCCCGCAAGAACCGCCTGGACTGTTTGCCTGGTACCTTGCCACCTTGGCGGTGTCGCCGGAGGTACCTCCACTGCGACCATTTGATGTCCGCTGAAATTCCAGTAAGCAATAACTCGCTGTTATTCAGAAACATCCTAAGCTGCGCAGTTATTAGGGCCATAATTTGCTTTTTGTCTGGCAATTTGAGGCCCTGTTAGCCCAAAAGAGCAATTCTATATCAAAACTTTATATCCTTTAGCTAGAGCCTCACTATATTTGCCCTGAATTGCCAAACAAGTGCCAGAGTTATGCTTCGCTGCCTAGTTATCCGGTTACCACCTAACTTCTTTTGGCCTCAGTTCGCGAGGAAACGCCAAAGTGAGGCTCGTTTTTTACATCACAACTTTAGGCCTCAATTTCAAAACACATACCAGATTTAGGC